TGGAAGTTTTCGAATTACGTTGAAATTGTGTTGTAAGGGAATATTAATTTGATTTTTTTTTATCATTGTCGCCACAACAATGATCATGATTTGGTAATATTTTAAATACATATACATTTGTATATGGGACGTTCCACGTAAAACGAAGCAAGGCTCTGCCAGTAATTCTAGATGGGTTTTAATATTTTTTGGGAATTGTTTGATTTTCGTGGGACTTAGTATATAGGGAGCTTTTGGGTCGCTGACTACGAAGCAATAATCAGTTTTTAAATATTCAAAATGGCAGATATATTTGCTTGATTTTCATGAGATTTTCTATCTAGGCGATTTTCTAGATTTTCAATCTATTCGAGTCGCTGACTCTATAATTACTAAAAATTTTAAACATAAATTACCATACATTTCGGCGAGTCTGATGACAACCAGGGTTGCCACTGACGAAAAAAAATGCTTACCATTTTCCTGAAAACACCTACCAAATCTGGAAAATATCTACCAATAACTTTTTTTTTATAGTTATTTTAATAAAAACTATAGATTTGATTTTTACTCAACAAACAAAAGCGAAAATGATGAAACAAAAGGCAACAACGAAACTTCAACTGGAATTATTATAGACAAATAAAGTGACTCAAAAAAAACTTGATAATTTATTTAATATTCAAAATGTTTTTGAAGTAAAAATTTTTTTGCTTTTTTTTGGTATGGGAATTTTGTTTGCTCTTACTAAACCCATAAAAATAATCAAGGATTCAAGCTATATACAACATTTAGAAAAATTTAACATTCACCAAAATTTCGAAATTTTTTCTTTGGCTTAATAGCCAATTTAATTTTAGTATAACGAACAATATGCAGCTAAAAATTCCCGCTGATTAAAATAATATTTTTTTTGCCGGTCTTTTGTATTTTTCTTTTTCATTTAACAATTAACTGACGTTGATTTTTTAATTTTTTTGCGAACAATTATAGTGTGCAATTACATACATACCTGACCATTTTTTCCTTTTTATTTGAAGACTGATTGAAAATATTTAGGCAATCCAAAGCTCCTCAGGATTCCAGTAAAATGAGTTTTGTATGTAGCCAGATATCGATATGCATACATACGTTCGAAATTTAATGCAATAAAGTAGGCTACACTTATGGAAAGAAATTTATAATATAAGGATAATTACGAAACATAAAGCGTGACATAAGCGTGAAGTTTTATTTGCTTTTCAAACAAAATACTTATACAAAAATCTACCAAAAGGAAAAAAAATTACTTTTACCAACCCAAATTTTTTCTATTAATAATTATACCAGTATTTTTTCCTTGAGATTTACATACAGATTTAGGAAATTTCAATTGAAGACACTTTTTCCATTTCTTACTTTATATGAATTTATTGTTTTTTCCATTTCTTACTTTATATGAATTTATTGTTTTTCTTGATGGGTTCAAAAAAATATTTTTTTTAAAGTCACAAGCTATTTTCTTAAATAAGTAGACTTCCGTTAATATATTTTCCAATTTTTCATTTGTGAAATTAGGGCAGAAAAAAACGATTTCATAGTAAAAAGTCACTCATACGCCATGTATCACAATAAGCAGAAAGTTAAGTAAAATTAGAGTACTAAAATATTTACAGCTTTATTCATAAAAAATAAAGTATTTGGTTTTAAAGAGCTTTATAAATTGAAATTTTCACAAATTTTTCAATTTACAAACCTTTAGAGCTACTTTATTTTTTATGAGTAAGGCTATTAAACTATTTACTCTGATTTTGGTAGTTGGTGTTTCGAAAGTTTTAGAGTAAGATGTATTATGGGACGATTTTCCATCATCCTTTGTCAAGTTTAGTCGTTCTACAATACCACTTTTAAACTACGTTCTAGAGTAGAAAATTTGAAAAATTATTACAAAGAGCTTTAGAGACCTACATAACTATTCATAAAAAATAATGAAGACTGTAAATGATTTATAAAATGAATTTTTTTTTAAATATCACTTTATGAAGCTTTATAAATACATTTTCTTTTTTGTGAATAAGGCCATTACTATATAAAAATTATATTATTAATTCCCGCTTGAAAATGACATTTTTCGACCCCATTGGTGGCGCTGGTGTCGAGATAAATATATATTTTTTTACGAAATAAAATTTTTCACATTTCTTTAGATTCCCTTATTAAAACTACATGCAAGATAAGACTTTTGGACCCGTTGGGTAGCGCCATTTATTCCGTTTTTCTTTTTTAGACTTTTATTAATTTTATTACTTACTATTAAAAATTATTAATCAATTCTTTGCGTCTATATCGTTTGTAGCCCCACACCTGCGGACATAAAAGGACGTAACTTTCCGCCCGATTTCATTTGGGGTATTGGTACGTCAGCATATCAAATTGAAGGTGGTTGGAATGCCTCCGATAAAGGGGAATCGATATGGGATCATCTAACACACAGATTTCCGGAAAAAATTGATGATCAATCAAATGGTGATATTTCGTCTGACAGTTATCATCAGGTAAATATTCATACATACAAAAATTACTCACACATATCACTGGCTTAGAGTGAAAATTTGCTAAGTCCGCTTTCACAAATTTTCCAGCAGAGGAAAAAACCTCTTATAGCCATTTTCTTCAAGTATTTCACAAAACTTTGAATACAACATTTTTCGTGTTGAAACTCCATACGAATCGGAAGGATTTGATCTTTATTAAAAGATTTCGTATTATATTCGCCTAATCGGATTTTTGGTGCCTCTTTTGGACTTAGCAAATTTGCCTTTCTATGAATTCGAAACGTTGCATTTTTAATTTATCTTGCTTTCTATAACAAAATATGAGTTTTCATAAAAAGTGGACTTAGCAACTTTTCACTCTAAAAAAAAATGTAATACTAAATATTACTTTAAGTCGTAAAATTTATTCGATCGAATTAAGACTACATACTTACACGCGCTTGACTAAACGTGGTCATAAATCAACAAAATTGCATGCAAATTCTCCAACTGTGTTTTTTATTTTGAAAGTTCGCGTTTGTTGTTATTACAAGTGTTTGTTTAGAAATTACGTTAAAAATTTATGGTCAATTAATTTATCATAACTTGCCAAGGGGATTGATGCATTCAGTGTGATAGCTAATAGTCGGTAGTACGTACGAGTACCTTACGATACCAAGTGCCAGTTACTTCCATTGCAACTTAAACTTTTTCTTAGCTAAATTCTTTATTCATACAAGTGCATGTATGTACATATGTAGGTACTTGTGTAAGTAGGTTGTAATTACATTTGCATTATTCATTACTTAAATCATAACCCGATTACTTATGCGCATTTATAAAACTATAAAAAATTATATATATTTTATATGTTTGTAGAAGTAGGCGATTGATTAAAACAGGTGTGCAATAGTATATTAAGTTGAAATGAAATTACTTTCCATAAGTGTTGACACGATTAATTGATATATAGACATATGTTAATGCCCGTATGAGTATATAGATCATTTCATATCCACCATCAAGTAATTAAATTTGTTTGTATATACGTAGGTGTTTCAATTGACAGGGGTTAAATAGCAGCACATGGTGGGTTAATTTACGAGTAACGTGAGTAAACTATATCCGGTTTAATTTCAAACTTAACATCACTGGTTCAGGCAGGGAACAGCATCACTTCGTGCAACTGCGTGGGTGGGTAGAGTTGCCTGGTAGAAGTGCTATTTATTACTTAAATGAATATATTCATTTTACATGATAAAAGATTTGCAGATCATGATTTTTGTTCGTCGAGAGCGAGTGCTCTGCTTTTCAAGTGACTACCGAGCCCGAAGTAATATCTGTGGGCCAGAGTTATCCTTCGCTTGATCTCCAGGCTGACATTATTGGGGGTGTTATTGCTGGATCCTATGTAGACGAAGTTCTTCAGTAAAAGTTAGTTATAACTGCTAACAGTGATCCGTGTCCGAATAAACGAAGGGTTTGTTGCAAGGAGATACTTGGTCTTGCCTTCGCTCACTGCGAGACCAACTTCTTTTGCTTCCTTTTCTAAGCTAGAAAATGCTGCGCTCGTGACCCTGGTGTTGAGGCCGACGATATTATTTGCATAAGCTAGTAGCATCGCGTTTTCGATTTTCGTATACATTAGGGTGCTACTTAAAATTTCAAAATCTAATTGTTTTTAGAAACTAGTCTTGGTATTGAAACCATTTGATTGTTGCCTTATTTTCTGGCCACATTCGTGCTTGCCATTATTTCAAGAACTTTACCCTCACGCCCTTCTGCCTTTTGTTTCTTCTTCTTAAGACTTTCCTCCCTCCGCTTCCGCCTGTGTCGCTCGCACCCGGTGATTGGAAGATGGATTTTCACTGCTAAATGTTTATTCAGGCGATGAGAAGTGGCTTGTTTGGGCAGTATTTGCGAGACGTTTGCGAAACTTTCTGGCTGTTCGTTGTGACTCCACATTTTCGAGATCCAACTTTCGTCGCGCTGCGTTTTGCAACTTCCCTATTGCACAGAGGCACATGCGGCTTTTGCCTCCAAGGAGGCAGTCGAAGGAACAGACGGTAGGTGGCAGGTATAAAACACGCTGAACATTTTTCGCAGCCTTGTCCTTTCTATGGCACCTTCCCTGTGGAGGGTCCGTACATTACAGGCGCAAGCCAATAAATATTGCCCTTTTTCTTCATTCGGGCTTTTCATTGGATTGGCGAAACAGTAACAGCATACCGAGCAGAACGATCCTGCTTCATTGCACGCCAATGCCTACAACTATGTATGTGTATTTTCTGAAAATTAATGTAAGCCTTTTTTAATAAACGAAAAGTGGCACATTTTAAGTGAATACGATAAGTATACGTTTGCATATTTCCTTACATAATGAATTTACAGATCAACATCAACTGCACTAAGGCGGAGATTTCAAACATTTCTGTTTACACTTTACGACAAATATTTACGGTCAGTAAATATTAAGTTCAGACATTTATGATATTAACTCACTGACCTACATCTGCGATATGTCTTGTCTTTCAGCTGCATTGCTCAATAGCATTGTAACTGGTGTAATAATTGTATTACAGTATGAATGTACATAAATATGTACATTAGACCACGTCTACGATAATTCTAAGAGGTCGTGAATCGAGCGTTTATTTTTCTCATAGGAATAACTCGTAAGAAAATGAGTTCTTCTCTTTTAAGGTCAATCTAATTTTCCGAAACTGTAAGAATACATTGACTATACTCCATTTAAGTGTTAAGCAGGCTCAAATTCTTCCCTAAGCATATAGTTATGTAAATTCCGCAAAGATTTTTTGGAAAAATGCTGGAGTGACAATCCTTGGCCAGATATGAGTCTGGGTCTTTCCGCTTACGTAGCCCCGACTGTCGTGGGAACGATGAGGGTCGGTCTCCGGCATTTCTGGCTTAGATAGTCGAAAATGTTTTCTAAGACAATTGAAAGACACAAGGCAAGATAGTTTGGAAGATTTTCTTTATTCTACATGAAAGTTTTACAAAAAAGTTTCCTTGCCAACTTTCATGGTGAAAAGCTCTTTTGACAGAAAACTCTTCTATATCATTTTGCTCGCGCTGCTCAAACAGTTGCAATGACCTAGTGTGCAAAGCACTGGCGTGCCCTTCCGAGACGTCCGAGGTACGAGTTCTGGGCAGCGAAATTTTTAATTTTTTTAAATTTGTTTATTTTTCTTTTTATATTAGTTTTTTTTATTATTTATTGGCCTTATAACAGTTGATGTTAAACAAATTTTTGAGCTTGAGGTAATTTTTTAATGAACATTTTTGTGGAGAAAAAACAATAATTTACATTTTGTTAGAACTTATAGCTGCTATTTCGGAGATCAACACGTCTCCTCATCAGACTTCTTCAGTGATTTCGCTTTTTTTCTTTTTTAATCTAATTATCTTTTCTAGATTTTATTGTTAAAAATATATTTTTTAAGTTGATTTAGTTTTTAGAAACATGTTTTATTTTTTATGTTTATTTATTTGTTCCTTTTTTAAAATAATTTTAATATTTTAATGTTTTATGCGCACTTATTTTATTAATCCTTTTTTTAATTGAACTTTTTTAATTTTTTTTTGGTAATTCTTATTTTTTAATTTTTATTTATTTTTTTTTAATTTTTAATTGTTTTAAAATGAAAAATAGCTCTTTTTAAATTCATTTAATTTTTGGACACTTATTTTATTAATCTTATTCTTTTAAATTATTTTATTTTTTTTAATATAAATTTCTTATAATTCATACTTTTTATGGTTTTAAAAAGAAAACAATATTCTTTTATTAATTTCACTTAATTTTTAGAAAGCTTGTTGCTAAAAAAGATCCTTTTTCATTATAATGCACGCTCGAAATTTACCTGTGTTATCACTGCAGAAGAGGTTTTGTGTTGTTAAAACCGTAAATCAGATCACCTCTGCCCCAGGGCTGCTGAATCCACTTCAGCTTCAAGAAAATCTGCCTATTGCTGCGAACTGAGTGCACCGACATTTAATAATTTAATTAAGAAAATCATTTTCGCATTCATTAGCAAATTATACTACTTTGTTTGAACAATGCAGGCAGTGAAGCATACAGAAATATGATATAGCATTTTTTGCATTCTTTCCACTACACTTTGTATACTTATGTACATAAGTAAAATCACAACAGCGTTGTCTGTATCATTTCTTTTTTTTATCATTTGCTTAACAATGAACAATCGAAGCTTTTAATTTGATTAAATAATTTCCCATGATTCTCTCTGTGTCTCCCTACAATAGTGGCGTCGCGATGTGCAAATGATACGCGATCTCAACGTGCATGTCTATCGCTTTTCAATATCGTGGACACGCATCATGCCCGGCGGCTACATGAATCAGGTGAGCAGCGATGGCATACGTCACTACAGTGATCTCATCAACGAGTTGCTTCACTACAATATCACACCAATGGTCACAATTTATCACTGGGATCTGCCACAACGTCTGCAAGAGTTGGGCGGTTGGACGAATCCGGAAATTATACCAGTTTTTAAGGATTACGCCCGCCTTCTATTCGAAATGTATGGCGACCGTATTAAGATTTGGACGACAATCAATGAACCTTGGCACATCTGTGAATTTGGTTATGGCGTTGATTACATGGCACCCTCATACAATTACCCTGGCATTCCCAGCTATTTGTGCGCGCACAATTTGCTCAAAGCACACGCTGAGGTGGTGCATATGTATCGTGAGAAGTATCAAGATTTACAGAAGGGAAAAATCGGCTTAACTATGGACACATCGTGGATGGAACCTAAAACCGATTCGGTGGATGATCAAGAAGCATCTGAACGTGCATTGCAATTCTATTTGGGTTGGTATGCGCATCCGATCTTCTCCAAACGTGGCAATTACCCACAAGTTATGATCGATCGTATACATAATTTGAGTAAGGAGCAGGGTTTCACACGTTCACGCTTGCCAGAGTTTACAGCAGATGAGGTGCGTCGTATACGCGGCACTGCCGATTTCTTTGGCATTAATTCGTACACCAGCAAACGTGTGACAAAGAATGATCACAACAACAGCAATAATTTTCCAATACCATCATTTAATCACGATATGGGCGTGATCGAAGATCAAGATCCCAACTGGACTGGTTCAGGTTCGGAGTGGTTGAAGGTAAGTAGATGATGTTGGAGTATGGAAGACACAATTGTCGGATATCGTTTTGAGATTAGAGTTGAGCTGACGTCCATTTCTGCATAGTACTTATGGCAAAACTGTTTTTATTTTTTGGTTATGAGGTTCTTCCAGCGGCAGTGCGATATTTAACTAAATAAATTGCACAAAAGTGAAAGGTGCTAAATGAATAAATGAAATAGTAAAAAAAAACGTTATCACATTATTTTGCATATTTTAATAAACATTATTTGTGTTATTTAACCGCACTGCCATTGTTTGTGAAAACGAGTCGGAACAAATTTCAATTTTGATTTAATTAGAGGCGTTTTTACAGAGACAAGTTGCTAGGCTTCAGTAGTTTACTCCTGTTTTTGTAACTATAATAAGTCCCTTACCCTGACCCAAGATACCATCGGTTTCCGTTGGTAGGTAAATTCCTAATGAAAGAGATCCGACTGTGGATGAACTTTGGCTTAATTAATTTATTATTGGCAATTAATAATTTGAATTTTTGTATGATAAATTGGGTAACAATTAAGGTCAAAATTGGTGAATAGGTTCTTAATGGCCGATTAGGTGCCTGTTTGAACATAGTCTTACCTACTACAATTTAACGGGCTATATTTTTTTTATAAAATTCTGATTAAAAAGTGTGAAGTTTTTGGGTGATTTTGGTAAAGAGTGTTGAATTTTTATAATTTTGGTACAAAGTTTGAAATGTTATATAAATAATGGGCCAGACTTTTATAAATAAATATTAAACATCGAATAACCAAAAGAAAAAGGTATAGCCAAAATTGGTCAAACTAAAAAGTTTCTATTATTTCTTCCACCACTGTAGGAGTAGTAGCCAGTAGGATTCCCAGAAGCATTCTCATGCTTTTTATTCCTTTAAATGTCATTCAAATATCAACCGACAATAACGTAAATACTAAAATATAAAAAAATTGCGCAAATGATTATATTTCCGCCAAAAAGTGCAACAACTAGTAAGGCCAAGCATAAAAAACATCAAATTAACCATGAATTGTTATGTCAACAAACTGTTTAAACCCCATAAAAGGGCACCTCAATGTAAATGCATATTTATTTACATACATATATGTATGTATATAATAATTTGTCGTTCAATTTTAATATGTATAATTGAACACTGCAATGACAAAAAAATTGTATGTCTATATATGTATGTCTACAGGTGTCCACTGTATATTAGAGACTGGAACTGTGCACTTCAAAGTTGATTGACAGCTGGAAAAATATGTCGTTGACAATTCAAGCTACTTTAAGGCACTCCGTACATTACGTGCCTAATCATAGTGGAGTGATCGTTTCTTCGTGCCGAATCGAATGCATTACGACTCGACTTCTGCACATTTTCTGGCGGTTCTTTCTGAACTACACACTTCTGAAAATATTTGTTTGCGCGAATTTTAGCACGAAATAATTCATTTTAAATTACTTCCTATTGAAATGACAAATAGTTTTTATTTCCAACACAAAAAAGTAAACAAATGTCGATTTCAAAATGGCAAGCGCCTTACAATGTTGAGCGCTTTGATTCAAGCAGCTTTTATGATAAGGCGAAAACATGATTATGAATCGTAATGTTCAGAGCTTTATTGAAATACATGTGTTCGGCATAAAAGCTTTAAGCATGCCGAAACAATTACACTACTATGATTAGGCGCTTAATGTGCGGAGTGCCTTAATGTGTAGTACAATCTTTTCAAAGTTGCTTTGCCCAAAGAAAGTAACTTTTTTGTGTTTTTTGCGCTACTTCAGTAGGAAGACATCGACAATGAGCCTCGTAGAAAGTTAAAAGTTGGCTTCAGATTGAATTGAGCTACAATAATGTAGAATGTATGTACATTCAAGTGGTCCAAAAATGTATGTAAAAAAAATAAGGTCGCATTTTTAATGCCGCCACCCCCTAGGATTGTCCTATACCGACAAAAAATATACCCATATTTTCTTTATTTTGAAATAAAAAAAAAGCGCTCAAAGTGGTCAATGTATTTTTTATGGGGATAAAACAACTTTTCGTAGAAATAGTGTAGAATTCTTGCAAATCAATATTTTTCGATCGGAAAATTTTGCTTATCTTCAGGAGATTCCCAGTAATAATACCCAATTGTTCCTTTAACCATTTTTTCATGGTAACTATATTTTATAGGTCCTAGAAAATGCAATGGGGGGAGGGGGACCAATAAAAAATCTTTAATCATAAAAAATGGTTAAATAAACAATTGGATTGAAGTCTCCTGAAGAGAGCCACAATTTTACGATTGAAACATATTGATTTTCAAGAGTTTTATACCATTTTTACGAAAATTTGTTTTTTCCCCATATAAAATACATGGAAAACTTTGAGCGCTGTGAGCACTCCCTAAATATTTTTTGATTTCAAAATAAAAAAATAGGGGTATATTTATTTTCGGTTCAGAACAATCCTAGGGGGTGGCGGCATTAAAATTCCGACTTTATTATTTTGGACCACTCTAATGTACATGTACATGTATAAGTATGTATGTATGCAAGGCGAAAACTTATACAATTTGTATTACCAACTCCTTGGAGAATTAGCATAACGCACATACGACTGTACATACATACGACATACAATTTCACATTTTTTCTACCTTCATTTTTTCATTTTCTGTATGGGGTTGGTTTTGCTAATAAGATCCTTCCTGCCTTGCTGTAATTGAAAGGTGGCTGTTAAGAAGGTGTAATGAGAAACGCTTCGAAACGAGAGAAGACATTGAATAGCATCTGTTTTTGGTTGTTTTGGCAAAGTGTATTTTTCTGAGTGCAGGCTGACAAAATGTATACAAATTGGTAGCAGGAATGCTTTGAATAGGTCAATGAACTTATGAAAGTTAGTGCAAGCAAAGCAAAAGCAAGCAAAGAAGCCTAGACAAAAAATATATGAATTTTTATTCTGAAAACTGAAAGAAATTATTATTTTTTTTTTGCAAATTGCAGGTCGTTCCCAAAGGCATGTACAATTTACTCATGTGGATCATGAAGGAATACAACAATCCTCCAATAATTGTCACAGAAAATGGCGTCAGCGACGTGGGTGGACTTGCAGACTATAAACGCGTGGATTATATTAATTCCTACCTCTCGGGTAAGTACATGGGCCATTCCATTGTGACATTGGAGGAGCATTTTACTCCGGAATGTGATCAGTTGTTAATCATACCTAAAAAACATATATCGACGCAACTTATGCAACAGCGAAAGAACGATAACTAATGCATATAGTTTCTTTAAAAAAACAACACCCAACCGTTTCTTAGTTAGTTAATGCAGGCACCGAGAACGCGTTTTGGTTTAGTTCTGCATGAGAATAAAATGTAATGCCAAGAACCTTTCAACAAAAGAACCAAACGGGAACAAAGTATTGAGATCAGTTTGAACGGGAGTAAAATGAGAATAAAAGGTTTGGGAAAATTGTTTCCGTTAGAATCACTATTGTTAATTCTAAGCCAGAGGAAGTCTGTGTTATTTCAACCTCCACATTGTTTATCATTGGGGTGAACTATCCATTTATATAGCAATTTTTGATTTTCTGTGAAAAAATAAAAAATAAAAAATCGCGCAAAAAGTTCGTGTCTTAAGTCTTTCGTTGACTTAATTTGCATAATTATCTTTCATCTCTTTTTTCCTTAATTTTAATATCCAAATATTTTAAACTAATGAACGCTATGTGAAAAATTTTGTTCTCGCTTAAATTCTCCGCTAAAGGTTCAGAGAAAATGTGTTCCCGTTTCGTTATATGTCAGAAAGTTCCGGAGATTTTAGTTCCCATTTTGGTCTCCTAGAAATGTTCCCGAAAGTTTTGTTCGCATTTTGTTCTCCCGGTAAACGTTCCACAGGGGTTTGTTCTTATAAGTATAATTCCAATTGAGAACGTTCTCGACCATTTTGTTCTCATTTTGGTTTTGAAGCATTTTTGAGTACAAAACTACGAGAACGACATTTAGTTTCGATCACACTTTTTGTTATCGGTCCCTGATTTTATGTAACTATCATTTGAATGAGTGTCACTGGTGGGACACTGAACATAACTCTATTTTACCTTTGTGCACTCAAAGATGAATTTTAGCCTAAACACTTAATTTTCAAGAAGGTTTTGTGCTGTAAAATTTATGTAAGCTATACGCTTTTGTCATAAAAAATAGGCTGATATAATCTTCATAGAAATATTAAAAAACTATTTAAATTTGTGACTGGTGGGTCAGGTCCCATTGACTGATGTAAGGTAATTATATATGAAGTAAAAGTTTCCATAGAAAAAAATTAAAGGATCCTTTTTATTTTTTTAATATATTTCAACAGATTAATGAAATGTAGTCATTTAAAAAGAGGTAATTAGGAAATTTTTAATTTTATGTCATTTTTCTCCTTTTTCGCATTTTGCTTTGTAGGCTTAAGTTAGCCCTACGCAACCATTTTATAGTTTTTCGGATCAAAGGACGTTCACAGAGCTAGACTTTTTTTACAAAAGAAACTTTTAAGAAAGAAATTTGTATGACTACCAAAAAAAGGTCTATAAGTATGTAACTATGTATTTCGTTTCTATTGTTTTGCAGCGGTTTTAGATGCCATTGAGGATGGCGCCAATGTGCAGGGCTATACATATTGGAGCTTAATGGACAGCTATGAATGGAAAGCTGGCTATACGTAAGTATGAGTATTATGTGTGTATGTACATCTGTATGGATATTTATCAACGCTTTCAATGTAAAAGGTCCTAAATGAAAAATGTGAAATGTGAAATTTAAGTACCAAGTAGGAAAAATATCTTAAAATAAAGGAGGATATGCATTTAGGCTTGGACACTCTGAATTTTGGAATGTAGGTGTATCTAAGAGCTAACTACACTCAGAAAAAAGTCAGCTAAATATATGTATTTCTCTCAACACACCAAACCAAATGATGTGTTGAGAAAAAAATGTTTTTTTACGTAACTAAAGTCTTTCCTTAGTGTAAGTACAATATTAGAATGAAATACGTTTCAGAATAAATGTGAACAAGCGCCTTTTGCTTTGATAATTACAAATATGAGATTCTACTTACTACTACAGTAGAACTATTCAAATATATTTTTTTTTAACAGGCAAATCGAAACTCGAAAAAATATTTCATAAGTACAAGTCAAACCATGTCAAATCTGCGAATGGTTGGAATCAGCAATTTTTGATTTGAATTAATTGATTAATTTGAAACGTAACTTTTTTCGAAAGTTTTGCAAAATTCTAAATTTAGCAATTTATTTTTTGAATAGTATATCAAACATTATTATTCTGGTCTCGTTTTAAAGGTGATATTTAGGGGTATATAGAACAAATATCGACCCCTTTGCGCAAAACTATCGTATGTGCTAGAAATAAAATTTTATAGAAGAGCGTTTTTTCTACTTTTAAAAACTTTTTGAATTTTTTTTATTAATTTTTTCACTATGTACAAAATGCTTTTGTATGGCACATACGATAATTTCGCCCTCTAGAAAATAATGCATTGCAGCATACGATAAAATATACAGTAATTTTTTGGGATTTTAGCCACAATATTTTACCAAGTGATACGTTTTGGTGTAGAAGAAGTTTGCATCAAAAAGTCAATTTCGAAAAAAATGGTACATACGATAATTACAACTTAAAACAACCATAAAACTGGCAGAAGTTTAAAATTAAAAAAATTGTAAAATCGATACAAATTTTTGTCTAAATTGTTTCTAATACCTCCAACTGATCTCAAAAGATCCTAAAATTTTCAAAGAGGTGTTTTTTAAAAGGTATGAATTTTCGAACTGTGAAAGGTGTTTTTTTTTTTGAAAATCCTATATAAAGTTATGTTAAATAATTTTTATTAAATTTAAACCCATTTTTAATTTATAGTTAACAATACAGGTTCAAAAATTCTTAACTTTACAAAGAACACCATGAAAATTTCAGGATATTTTAAGATCAGTTGGATGTATGTATTGAGCCAAAAATTTATACATATAAGTTTTTGCTTTTACGACTTTTTAAATGTCCTAATTCTGTAATTTTTTTATTTTCGAATATTTTTTAAATATATATGTATATTTTTTTATATAAATAGCCCCAAATATACCCTTTATAATTAGAATAGTTTATGATATACTCAGAAAAAAAATTGTAAATCCAGGAAATCGTGAAATTTTTAACTTTCGAAACTATTTTTCATAATTTTTTGTTCTTTGGCGGAACGTTGTTATTTGATAAGATAAAAGTTCTCGATTTTACATGGATCAACCTATACGCATTTTGACAGTTCACTAAAAGTTTCGAAACAGTCTCTACTCACTAAATACTATTCTGCCATTTATTTAACTATTATTAACTATTTATCTGCCATTAATTTTTATTTTGCATCGCAGCATCACAAATTATGCTAATGAAGTCCTTCTCTTCTCTCTTCCACTTTTTTGTAGTGAAAAATTCGGTCTCTATCATGTGGATTTCAATCATCCCAATCGCACGCGCACACCAAAGGTCTCCGCCAGAGTTTATGCGAAAATTTGCAAGACCAACACAATCGATTGGAGTTATCGACCAGGTTTGGATGAGAGTCAAATAAATGCATTGCCACAGCTGCCCGAAGTAAAAGCGAAGTCGGGCGCGAGTACATTGTACAACACATTGAGCGGCCACAGTTGGCAGCGTATAACGTTATTGTTGTTGTTTGTTAATTATTTATTACGAATTTAAATCATTCATCATTGTAGTTAATGTTGCCATATTACATATGATGTGTTTTGTAAATATGTATGTATGTATTATTTAATTATCTGTTTAGAGCATGACTAAAGTATTATAATTATTTAAATAATAAAATAAATACATTTTATATATTAAGCCACATCGACTTGCTGTTTATTGGTTGAGGGTGGAACCTTTAAATATGATTAAAACACGAGTTTTCGACAGTCTCATTCGCAAGCGTTCTTCAAAGGAACTTATCAGAAAATACAAACAAAGACTTTGGGTATCAATTATACTTACATATGTAGAAGAGGGACTTTGAAGTAGTAATGGGCGCGGGATACCGGGACCTACGGTACTGATTTAAAAATGGTCGAGATGAGCGGTATCGGGAAGGTATTTAAGAATTTGCGGGACGGTACGGGACGAAAATTTAAATTTTAAGGACCACCCTAATGTACATATCATAAAAATAAAAAAGTCTGCTAAGTGTACACGGTAGCGAAATCTCTCTAGAGTTTTACTGAAATAAAAATCTCCTCTCTGAATTAAGTTTACACGGCAGAGCAACTCTAGGAGATATTAACTCTAGCTAGAGTCAAAAAAAAAAAATCTCAACTCTACCACGTACCCTACAAGCTGTGTACACGGTAGACAATTGTTACCTCTCGCCAAGGTTTAACTTTCTATCTCGAATTGTTTTCAACGCTTGTTTCATGTAGAAAATAAAGATGGCGTCATCTGCGGACCGCTAACCCTTCGTCGATTTGACAGCATTCACCTATTCGCTGACGTCTTAAAAAACCTTTTCGCACTAGGCATGAAAATTAAATTTTCTAATTGTACTACTTATTTGCCGAAAAAAATTGGGAGCCTATTGGGAAAGCTGTTGAAATGCCTATGAGAGTAAAATTTGCTAATAAGTCATTTAGATAGGTTCTAGATGTACCTAAAATGGTGTGCTTGTGCCGCATATACGATTTAATATCGTAGTCATTTCAAAATTTAACAAACTGTGATGAAATTCATGGAAAAGACTTTAACATAAATCTCCGTAGAGAAAAAACTCTATTTAGTTTGCCAAATGGAGCGTAGAGTTGTCGTAGAGTGTTCGATCTAGCTGCGTTGGACTGTGTACACGCCGAAAAAGTTTTGCTAAAAAACTCTCACGTAGACTGTGTAGGTGAGTCCCTCGTATTGAGTGTTTACACGTCTCTAGCGAGATTTTTGTTTAAGTCTCGCATTTTTTCTATACCGTGTATACTCCTTAGCTTAAAAAAATCTGAAGAAACATCCGCGATGCGTGCATTTCTCTGAATGGCTTCCATCCAGCATAGCGCGAGTGAGGTTGATCCATAAAGCGGCTTCCTCACAACATATCTCAGAATAGTCGTCGTCAACGCCATACTGGATGAGCTGGAAAGGAGAGGCCTATTGCTTATGATGGCGAAGTGGATCTAATCGTCAGAGCAATATTTCTGACTACGCAGTATAGCCTAGTGCTCTCTGATAACGCCTAGTATGTGCTCGTTATCCTAGATACAAAGTTATTATAGAAGCCAAGTACTGTGGCTATACTCCTGTAAAAGCGCCAGGCAAAAGAGGTGGAACCTCTTTCCAAAGGTAATCAACTGCTTGTAGAAAACCATAATAAAGCCAATCATGTTGTATGGGGTCATTGTCAGGTGGAATTCAATAGTACTTAAACAGTTAGAGTACATTCAAAGGGCCGTTCATGGGGCAAATCAACGAAGCTCTCAGGATGACTCCTAGTTCAGCACCTATAACTCTATCCTTAATGTCATATCCGCAGTCCGCTTCATCATTAGAGTAAGAAGCACTGCTTTCTGGTAAATCTTCGACTTCATACCTGAAGCAACGAATTTTTGAATGGCGAAGCTCACTCCAATTGGACTCTTCTCTATACCCATCCCTGTAAGGAGTGACTGGGAGAGTTACATATTCTGGAAAAAAGGTCTGGTAATACGGTAACGGATGGTTCGAAGTGGAGTTCGAGGATATGTATGTATTCTGTCAAGAAGTCTTCGTTAATCTTAAGTTTAGGCTTACAGATTTTCGGGAGGCACCTTTGAGGTGAATTCTCCAGACAGGGAGGGTGTAAGAGTCAAATCTCAGTACCGAGAGTAACTCAGGCCTTAAAATTTTTCCGGACCAATATCGACATAGCTGTTTGGGGGAAGATGAAGTGGAATTATTTATCTCAATATTTCGTTCTTCGCTGCCCTGCTTTCGCGTGAAAAAAAGTTTTAGCATTTTGGCGTATATTTCCTCAACACTCACGAGGAACTCTCTGAGGTGGACTTCATCTACTTACGGAACTTCATTCAGCCAGCAGAACTTCAGTAGCCAGCGCTTTTCCAAACCACTTCATGTTGATGACCTGCAGTTACTGTTCGAGAGGAAATCTATTCTAGTAGTAACACAATAGACAACATAAAAAATGTCGAGCTACGAGCGTAAAAATTGAATAGCCGCTTTATGGAGAAGCCGCTCCAATCAATCACCACCTCACCTAACATGCAATGAGATATGCGGCCGAGTCAGGGAAAAGTCGGCCTATCGATTTCATGCCAACGAGAGAAGTCGCGGCGTACATTTCAACGAATTAATTTTACATACGTAAGGACGTACATACATTAAAACTATTCAAAAACGAAACCAATCCATAAAAAATAGCAGTCAGGAAGTACGAGGTCAAAATATTTTGCAAGAAAAAATAAAAAATTGCCCTCTATAGGGCAGAGTTGGTAGCAGGCTTAATAGTTTTTAGGCACACTGCTTTTGTTATTTTCCAACCATTTTGAAAGCGTAATCTTATTTGGCAAGTATTTCTGTAAGAGTCTGGGCCACACAAATGTCGATAACAAAATCGCTAAATATCGTTAACAAGATCGATAACAAAGTCGATAAATGCCGATAACAAAATCGATAAACATCGCTAACAAATTCGATAAAAATATGGATAACAAAATCGATAAAAATCGCTAACATAATCGATAAAAAATATCGCTAACAAAATAGTTAAAAATATCGATTAAGAAATCGATAACAAATCGATAAAAATATCGGTAAGAAAATCGATAAAAATATCAACTATTGAATCGATAAGTTTCGAAAATATCGATAGCAAAGTTGATAACAATATCGATAAAAATTTCGATAAAAAAATCGATTACAAAACCGATTAAAATATCGATTATTTTATCGATAAGTGTCGAGAATCCCGAGAATCTCTAAAATCCCAAAACAGTTCCCAGATTGAGTCTCTGTGTCTCTCTCTATATCCTTTCATCTTTAATTACCTTTATTTTAATCTTTATTCCCCTATCTTCATCTTTACTTTTATCGGTATCCTCATCCTCCTCTTTGTCTTTACTTTTATGTTTATCATTTCCTTCATCTACATATTCCCCTTCTACTTACATCCTTACTAATATTATAAATCCAGAAGTGAGTTTGTTTGTTTGCTACGCTTTCACACTTTAACTACTCAACCGATTATCATGAAATTTTGTACACTCCTGTCATTTAGCCCAACTTAAAATATAGGATACATTTAATCTCGATTAGAAAAGGGGGCATGACACCTCCCATACAAACGGAATTGTTCATACTGCATTTCTCAGGAAATATTTTTGGTACATTACTGGAAATTGGTATGAAGATATATAAAATCATTATCTACTCATGGATGAGGGCTGCCACCTTTTACAAAAAATCAAATTCAACTTCAATTAAGGGAGTTATTTATTTGAAAATTATATTAAAAAAAATGGATGTCAAGAGGCTTAAAAATGCTGTAGTTTGAGTGTATCTTGAAAAGGGTTCCCACCTATTTCAAAAGTCAAATTTAAATTAATCTGAAGGATTAAAATATGGTTGTCAAAAGAAATATTGATAAAAAACTTTTAGTTTGAAAGTTTTGAATAATATTGCAGTCTTTCACAAGGGTTGCCACATTTTTTAAATTAAATTCAATTAGTTTAAATAAAATATTATAATACTAGCAGACCCGGCAAACTTCGTTCCGCCCAAACTTAATTATATCATTGAAACATTTTGGTCCAACATTTTCACCAACAATTCACGTATACGATTTCCATTGGCACGCTCATCGGCTAATATTATGGTTTGGTGGTCTTTTGCCGCCTTAAATAACCTTACGAAAGTGTTATGTACGTGAAGAAGTTCATGAAATTCTCTAATTGTGCAGCATTTCATAATAAATTTGAAGAACATTTCCTCTTCACTCCCTGGCGGCAACAGTGATCCGGTTCTATAGTGAATCTGCCCCAGAAACTTTATAGTATAGTTGCTGGCAACTTCAAAATGGATGCGTGTAATTGTTCTACAGAAATCCAATATACATAGACTTTGTATGAGAGGTGCCACGCCAAATAAAAAAAATAGCGATTTTTTTAGCCTATAACCATCATTGGGACGTCTGAAGCAGGTGTCCGAAATTTCAAAAAAATCTGTAGGGCCGTTCTCGAGCTTTGCGAACACAAAAAAAAACGGCTTTCAAAATATATATTAGTATAGATTGGTATGATTTGAAATGGTTTTGAATATGCATCACAATATGTATGAGTGTCACACGAAACAGGTTTTAAAGGTTGCCAACTGTTCAGAAGGTTAAATTCAAACTATTAATAATTTAAATGGATTACTACAATATGGGTATCAAAACTACATGTTTAAGATAATAGAAAAAGTATGATGAGTGAGAAAGAAAGTTTTATGCAGTTTGAAATTATTTTGAAGATGGTTAAACAAATTTTAAACCTCCTGTTTTTTAATTGAGTTTTCTTGAAATAAATTTTACTCAATGTAGCACGTAGAAATTTCATACACTCAGCGAAGCGGGTGAGGGCGATCTAGTACATTATAAGTAAAGTTTTAAATTTACCTTGGTCTTCATTTTTGCCTTTATCTTTACGCATCTTTGTTTTTGTTTTTATTTTTGCCTTTGCCTTTAAGACTGG